ATCTGTCCCTAACCTGGTCTTTCAGATCTTTGAATAGTTGCTAAAGTTCAGTGATACTTACTTCCTACCAAGAGTGGTGTTGCCATAATATGATTAATGCTTACTTTTTTTCTTGTGGTGGAGTATTTATAGTATCCTTTCATTAAACGTTGGTATTACAAAAGAATAATTTCTTCCATAGTGTATGCAAGAAATTTATTCGTGTTCCATGAAAAATAATTTAACTTATATTACTTAATACATTTTTTTTTCTTCAGAAGAGCTCAAGGCAACATACTGTACATAATCCTGTTATATACTTAAACAACTCTACAAGGTGAGAGTATGTGATTTGGCAAACTCGATCTATAAAACCTGGATTGTTTCTCTAAACATTTTGTGACTGTGAATTTTTTCAATCAGATTTTGCTGAAGTTAAATAATTTTTGCCATGTCTCTGTTTTTTGAGTTATTGAGTATGATTGGATGACATAGTTATTACTGGGCCATGAATGCTACTAAAATACTTTTTCTCGAAGAGGACATGTTTAGAACAATAGTTGACACAGAAATAGAGCAGAAAGGACACTTATATTCTCTAGAAGTAAAGCCTTTTGTACTATAAAGGTAATGGATGTCTCCAAGCATTAACTGAAAAATGACTCCAAACTTTACTCAGCTGAAAAGTTTCAGTCTCAATTGGCAGAAATACTATTGTATAAAAGTTAACATTAAGTCTTTTTCTTAAAAAAAAAAAAAAAAAAAAACCCTGGCATTTAAAAGAAATATTCTCATGCACAGGGAATGCTTCTCACACATATAGGAAATGCCTCTTCTAGTGTCTATTTAGTTGAACAAACTTTTTATCTAGTACAGGGGTCAGCAACCCATGGCTCTGGAGCCACATGTGGCTCTTTCATCCCTCTGTTGCAGCTCCCTGTTGCTGGTCAGCTCCACAATTGATAGGGCTTTCGGTTAGGACAGGTAGAGGAAAAAGGATGCCGCGCTAGGAGGAGACTCTGTGGTGGGGGAACTGACTTCCAGTTGCCAGAGGAAAAAGGATGCCATGCTAGGAGGAGACTCTATGGTGGGGAAACTGGATTTCCGGTCAGCTCCAGAATTGAATGGGGGCTTCCGATTAGGACCTTTGTAAGTGTTTAAGGTTGCCGCCCCCTGGTCTAGTAAGCCACATATGGTCTGTTAGTAGAGATGATATTCACGGCCTGGATTTTTCTTAAGGAATTTGGAGGATTTGGAGGATAAATTTTCTCAAACAATATCCCCAGTGATTAGGAAAATTAATTGGTCCTATTTTGGGGTGACTAATGTTTCAAAATGATATAAAGGGTACATTCAGCCTTCAGATATTTCTTCATATACCGTGTTTCCTTGAAAATAAGACCCTGTCTTATATTTTTTTGAACCCCAATATAAGTGCTTGGCCTGATTTTCAGGAATGTCTTATTATTTTGGGGCACACGGAGCAAGACTGGGCTCCTCTTGCCATCTTACCTGATTTCCAGCTCTGCCCCCTAACCCTAACCAGAGGAAATGGTGGGGACCAGTTGCACTTGCGTTTAAATATTTTCGGAGAGGGGGTATTTTAGCGCATGCGCTCAAAATCCCAGTTGGGATTATTATCAGGGGATGTCTTATTTTAGGGGAAACAGGGTATTAGACCCAGTAGTTCCGAAGATCCTTTTTTTTTTCAAAAGGCAACTAGACTTTCTTGATTTTTTTTTTTTTCTTGAAGATCCAAGAAGCTTCTTCAGTTCTGGCTAAAAGGTGGTGAATGGAAGGATTTATATACCTTAGAAGTCATCTGGTTTTTAGTATTCTGAGGGACTTTTAGCAGTGCCAAGAAGGCTCCGCACTGTTTGCACTGATTCAGGTGACCCTGAAGGTACGGACAAACCCCCAAATGGTCTCAAGGATTCTCAGAGAGCTAATGACTGACCGTCAGAGTGCTAACACCCAGAGCACTGCTAAGGAATATAAATCCTTCCATTCCCCACCATTCAGCCAAAACTGAAGAAGCTTCTTGGATGAGAAGTGAAACATTTTCGAGAAAAGCCAAGAAAGTCCAGTTGACTTTTGAAAAAGCACCATTGGGACAACCATGACCTGGATGATTGAGAATGCCCATAGACATTAGACCTAGTAGTTCCTATTCATGCAGGAATTTACTATAAAACAACATTTACATTTAAAATGTGATCCAAAGAGAAACCAGAATATTTTACTATTTTTAAAGTGGGCACTATTTATGAAATCTACTGAAGTCAATGGATTAGATAGCTATTAATCAAAACCTACATTTCTGATCATGTATTTCTCCCTCTGTCACCGTATTTTTAACTCTGAGCAGCAAAATGCTTTCACACCACTTAGGAATCTCATTTTTACCTTCCACATCTCTCCCCCCCCCCAAAAAATAACCCCCTCCTTTATGGGTCTTTTGGTAGACAAGCTTTAACTTTCAGGCTGAGCAGGTTGCATTTACTTCTTTTTAAAAATGTATTTACACAGCACAAAAACAAGAAAAATAAAAGAAAAACAATAAAGCTCCAATCCAATTTTAAATTTCAGCTCAACTAAAACCTCAAACTAACTTTTGTCAGCTCCCATCTGCAATAGTAGAATAATTATATTCAAGAATTATATGAATAATGTATGCAAAATACTCTGAACATCATAGAATGCAAATAAAAGTATTGCCTTGAATTCCAAGTTAACAAACGGGTAATATTTTGGCTTTGGCTGCCAACCCCAATAATACAGAAAAGAGTTTTTATAATATTTAAAGAAGGAACAAGAGTACTGGTAGACATACTGGAGAAAGCTCTGGATTTAAATCTGAGTTTAATGGTTAGCTCTAATCTAAAGTGTAATTGCTTCATAAAAAGATTTCAGTACCTAATCTTTAAACTTCAAGAGCTTCTTATGGCAGTCTATATTCTTAAAAACCCTTACGCTCAATTGGCAAAATATTATTTAAAGTAATATAATAAATTATTTGTGTATGTGTATAAAATAAAAAATAAAAGCAGACACCCACTTCTTTTCAGGGTCTCTTGCTGATGGGAAGACTTGCAATTCCCTGAATTTTGCACCCCGCATGAGAATTAATTTAGGAAGAGCCCATGACGAGGAAGGAAGAGATCATGTTTAATACTGAAAACAGTTTCATCAGTCAAGAGAACTTTAAACCAAACAGCTCTAAAGGTGCTTGAAAGGAAGGCTCACAACCTGGGTGCCACAGGTAGAAAAATTTGCTGACTTACATCATAGCCAATTGAGCTAACTGAAAGTAGAGCTAACTGAAAGAAAGGGCATGTTGAGATAATGCAGGTTTTTAAATGTTCTGGCTCAAAAGACTTTTGGAGTTTTCATTTATTAGCATCATCTTGAATTCACCTTGAAAATTATTTTAAATTAGCATAAAGTCAAGCACACTGCAAAAGTCAACAGGGGGACAGGGCTGCAAAAATGCCGAATGTAATTTCAGGCTGCATCTACAGACATATGGATTAATACATGGGATTAATATTATATTTTATACTAGGTTGGTTGCCTTGAAAATGGATTCTATTTAGGTACTACATTGTAAGAACTCTGAGAGTTTGGAATATGCTCAGAGGAAAGCAACAAGGATGATCCAGGACGGGAAAGTAAATTCTAGGGAGATGTTTGACAGATCTTAAGACCTTTCGCCTTCAGAAAAAAGACTAATGAGGGATCATATACCGTTCTCAAGTACCTAAAAGGTTATCCTATATAAGACGGGCTATAGAACAATGTATTTAAGAAAGAGGAATATTTTCTTAATATTTGACAATACTCAGTTTAGTGGGGGGGACCCATAAACAGCACAATTCAGCAGGGGAACCTGTGGTAGGCTTTGGATCACTATAAGTGTTTATTTTATTGACTAGATTTTTATGTCACCATTATTATTTTATATAAGGCACAACTCAAGACGGTGAACATACCTAATACTAAAAGTCTGTACAGATTCTCAGTCATCCCGGTCATGGTTGTCCCAAAGGTGTTTTTTCAGGAGGCAACTGGACTTTCTTGTTTTTTGTTGTTGTTGTTTTGAAGGCTTTTCGCTTCTCATCCAAGAAGCTTCTTCAGCTCTGAGGAAGAGCTACAGAACTGAAGAAGCTTCTTGGATGAGAAGCGAAACGTCTTTGAAAGAAAAAACAAAGAAAGTCCAGTTGTCTCCTGAAAAAGCACCTTTGGGACATAGCTAATCATCCTTCCTCTTCCTATTTTTCCCATAATATGAGTTATGAGTTGGGCTGAGAGAGAGTGACTGGCCAGCTGGCTTTCATATCTAAGGCAGGACTAGAACTCACAGCCTCCTAATTTCTAGGCCATTTCACCAGCTTAAAGCAGAAGAACCTAGATGCTTGTATTTGGATTCCTGCCCAGAGTCAGAGACTGAGCCCCCTATCCTAACCGCCCCCCCCCACCCGTTTCCTCCCTTTCTACGAAAACATAAATCAAATCACAATCTTGGCCACTCCAAGTCAGCTTTCTAATGTTGGGGCCTACCTACAAGGCTTCGCCCAAGGGTCTCTTTTAGCACCTCCGCTGTTTAATTTCTACATTTCAATGCTAAGGTGGCAGAGCTCATAGCAGCAAATTCGTTTCCCAAATGTGCCAAAAATCTGGAGATGGGTGACTTTAAACCGGGACTATGTAGTAACAGAGAGGTCCAGGCAGGGCGGAGGAGATAAATCTACATCTTAAAGGCATATGCAAGGAGCACACAAATGCCTGAACACACTTAGTTGATGGCTGTTGGCCGGATGAGGACTTGCTGGAGCGATTCTTCTCCTTCTCCTCCTCCTCCTCCTCTCCCCCCACCAAGAAAGCCAGTCTTTGTCACCCATTCAGACAAGCCGAGGTGGGGGGGGGGGGTCCTTCCACAAAGCCCTCCCCCTCGTCCCTCCCATCTCATTCACTTGCAAATCGCTGGGTGCCTGGAAGAGGCGCTTTCTCTTTCCCCCAGCCTTTAACCTTCCTCTCGGAGGCTGCAGTTTTTCGAAGCGGCGCGGCAAGAGAGAGCAGCAGCAGCCGCCGCCGCCGCCGCAGCAGCAGCAGCAGCAACGGGAGCGTCCACTAGCTGAGCGTCTGAGAAGGACCGGGCGAGGGATCGAGCCCCTCTTCTTCTTCTTCTTGCTCCTCCTCCTCTTCCTCCTCCTCTTCTTCTTCCTCGATTTCTTCTCCCCCTTTCAGAGCCTGGCGAGGGCTGAGTGAGCATCGCATCGACCCGTGAGAGCCCTCTTGCCTTGGCTTCCTCTCCCCCCCCCCCCCCCCCCCCCCCCCGAAAGGCAGAGTTGTAAAGGGATGCTGGGCGAGCAAGAGACGGAAGAGCTCCGGTCCAAGCAAGTCGCTCCCGCCGCACCACCAGCAGAGGAGGCGGAGAGAGGCAGGCGGAGAAGCGGCGCCGTTGCCACCGACGCTGGCCGCGTTTCCTGCCCGGCTTTGTAAAACGGAGCGGCTAAAGCATCCTTCGCCTTCCTTCCCTACGGTAAGGCGAGACGGGCTGAGGCTCTGAGCTCCGGGAAAGGCGCCCCGCCACCCCCAGTCTGCGGGAACCTGCCGGCAAAGCGGCTCTTCTTCCCTTGGCTTGGCGTTGGGCTTCTTTTGCTTTACTTCTCTCTCTCTCTCTCTCTTTCTCTCTCTCTCTCTCTCATTCTCTCTCTCTCTCATTCTCCCTCTCTCATTCTCTCTCTTTCTCATTCACTCTCTTTCTCTCATTCTCTCTCTCTTCTCTCTCATTCTCTCTCTCTCTCATTCTCTCTCTCTCATTCTCTCTCTCATTCTCTCTCTTTCTCTCATTCTCTCTCATTCTCTCATTCTCTCTCTCTTTCTCTCATTCTCTTTCTCTCATTCTCTCTCTCTCTCTCTCTCTCTCTTTTCTTTTCTTTTTTTCTTTTTTGGACTGCCGCCAAGATTCAGCCTTCCTCGTTGTTTGTAAAAGTTGGCAGGTCCGTTAGTCGGGGGTGAGGGGGTGGGGGAGGTGGGCAAACGTGGAGCCGGGGCTCGCACATGGGCAGGGCAACGCAGCGCAGCGCTCTGGAAGGCTGGGGGGAAAGGCGACGGCGTGTCCGCTTGGCGCACGGATAGGGTGGCAATTGGATGCCTGAAATGAATGGGCTCGTAGGGCGGAGTAGGTAAGGTCCCTGTCCGCGTTAGGTAGAGGAGTCGGATGTCTTGCGTGGCTGCCGTTTGCGATGCTTGCTGGATCCCAGGAAGCTCATAAAGCCTCCTCTTGCTGGGTTTTTTTTTTTTTTCCCCAAAAGAAAAGAAAACTTCTCCGGAGATCTGATTTTCCTTTTGTGGAGCAGAGAGAGAGAGAGAGAAAAGAAGGAGAGCCGGTGGTAAGATGCTAATTTAGAAGGGATGCGCGATGGAAAGAAGGGCTTTCGGGTTAGGAAGAGCCGAGAGAAGAAGGAATGGCTGGAGAACGCTGCTGAACTATAAAATCCTTTACAGGTTAAACGAAGTAGTAGTGTGGGGTGTGTGGGTGTGGAGAGATGAGATGGTGTGAAGACGTATATAGATCGGCACTAAGTGATTCTAGAAAAAATTCAGGATGAGACGAAAGTCTAGATATTGAAACACGGAGGAGGCATGTATGTGTGTATTAATTCAAAAAGCTGGTGGAGGAACTGCGGGATAGGTAAAACGGCCCCGAGGTCAGCGGTTTGTGAATGAGGTCTTGACAGTGCTGCAATAAAATCCATATTTTATGGAGAGTTAAATGCAGCGCTTTGTAAACGCAATTGGATAGTCAGTCGTAGACGCGGTAACTCCTGATGACATTCAAGGATCATGAAGTGTAATGGCTAAGATTACAGTCGGCTCAGCGGCACATCTGCTGCCTTTAACCAGAAAGGGATCAAGAGCACATCTGCTGTTCCTCCTCCTCAGCACCAAAGAGGTCAAGGGATCTTTCTTTATGGCTCCCGATTACTTAAAAGTTTTTCTGACTTCACTTGGGAGAGGGAGATGGATGCTTCGGACCTTTTTCCCCCGAGAGGTCTAAGAGACACGCACCAATCTGCATGTCTGAAGAGCAAACATCTTCCAACAGGACCAATGTAGTTCTCCAATAAATAGGTTACTGAAGAAAAATAGTTTGATGGATCCTGCATTTATGGTGGAACCAGCAAATTACTCTGTAGATGAAACATTCCAGCATGGATCTTGCTTGTTGCTGTTAAAAGTTCGGTGTAACATTATATGCTTAATGTGTTCAAATACGTGTGCAAATTTACATTTAGAAAACCGATGCTAGATGTGGGATTACATGAAAGATATTTGCATTAGATAGACACACATGTAAATATTTCCCTGCCTTGCTTTTTAGAGAGGGACTACAGGGGAGGTACCTTGGGGAAAGTGTTCGGTGGAAATGTGCATCTCTGAGCTTACTAGATAAAAATTCTTCCATTCTTCCTCTCAGCAGGAGCTTTCTTTGGCTGTTGTGATGGTTCCGCCGTAAATCTTTGCCCTGAACTTTAAACGTTCTGGCAAATTGATTGAGAGCACCCTCTCCTCTAACATGATGAGAATGATTGACGACGTCAGCATCCCCCCCACCCCCATGTCTTGCCTCTTTTTTTTTTTTTTAAGGACGCATCTTTTCCTTGTGAAGCAGGATGGGGAATCTGCAGATGAGCCTTGCTCTTCGCTGTTTCTCTTGTAAGAGGCAAACACAGATCTCTGTCCGGTTGCCTTTGTCAGAGGAAGTGATTCAATATCACTGAAGTAGATTGAATGTGCTAATAAAGAGCGGCAAGTCCCAATCGCTTCTCACTGATTGTATCCCAAGCCTTTGTCCGTTTCCTAGCTTTTTCTGCCTCTAGTTTTGAGCAATTTGCAACCCAAGTCACTGGTTGTACGGACACTAGAAGCCGAGGTGAGATCCTAAAAGCAAGTCAGTGTTATTCAGATTGGAGGTAGCTCCTTTGCAGTTATCCTCTGCAGCCATTTGAGGGCCTTGGAAGTGTCCCCTTTAGGGATTAAAGTCCCAGTTCCTACTGAGAATAGTTTTCACACTAGTGAATCATGTATCTCAAGGCTAGCCTATTAAAGATTACGCTGATTAAAAAAAGAACAAGACTGATAAAAATCACTGCTTACCATTTAAAAGACGTTTCTCTCAATATGTACAGTGAGAGCAAATCGCCTGCAGTTGAATATTCCTTATGCCTATGGACAGAAAGGGTAGATCATTAAAAGCTGTGGCACCAAAACCAATATGAGGAGCCGACTGAAGATGCATTCCAGTTCTTTTTCCGCATGCATGGAATGTTGGTCATTGGGTATCCAAAACTTGTACGAAAGTTTGAACAAAAGTTTCATCAAAATATTTTACTATCTTGGAAGATTTTTCCTTCCTTATAACTTGCCTGTTTACATTTTGGAATGGAAAATTAAGGGGAAGTCCCTCCCTAGTTAACTGTGATGCTGCAAGTCTTGAGCACATTTTATTTCATTGTTTATTTTGTGTGTGTGTATGTGTGTGTGAGAGAGAGAGAGAGGGAGGGAGGAAGAGGGGTGTATATTTCAATGGTTCTAGTATTAAAGCTTATTAAGATAGCAACTTTGTTATGGAAGTTTACGAAATTTGAAACAGCTAGCAAAACTGAAATTAATCCATCGGTCACAGCATTAACCTCACTGCAAAACCAAGCTTTAAATCATGATTTACGATCATGCATCGGCATAAACATTAACCTGCCACATGGTAATAATTCTGATGTGAGGAATTAACAATGTTGGCACTAAAGATTAGCAGAGTCAGGCTCTGCTAATATATTATATTTATTTATTATTGGTGTGCATTTATATTTATTCATTTATTGGTATGGATTTTCTTTATTTTCTTTGTTTATTGCTATCCCATTTTTATTACTTTATAAGTAACTCTAGGCAATAACATACCTAATGCTTGTAGATCAGCTGTTTTGACTATGGTCTCAAAGCATGCATAGTGCACTTCGTAAAATGGAAGGAACGCAATGTATGTATTTATGAGTTCACTTAAGTTATTTCATTTAGATTTGCACTTTGAATATATGTTTTCCCTGACCTGTAAAATAATGGAAAAGCAAAGGGGTGGGGGTCTTTTCTATTGCTTTTTGGGGTTATTGTTGGATACCATCAATGTAGTCTTCTGTATAGTTTTTTTAAAAATAAAATTTGAGAAGGATGCACTGTTGATATGACTAGGAGTCTACTGCTAATGTTCCCTTGGAGAACATATCTGTAGTTTTACATATAAGCACCTGAATGAACAATCCTGTGGGCTAGTAAATCAGTTCTCCTGTTGACTCGGTGCGTAAGTCAATGTGCACTTTATGGCTTTCTGAAAATCTGAAAGGTTTTATACTATTGGAATTTGATAGAATCAGATTTTCTGTCCTTATTGGCTTCTGTCTTGAGACTGAAGTAGGAATGGCCAGTGAAGGTAGACAGCAGTGTGTGTTTTTCTTTCACCAAGAAATTAGTTCTGTTTCGGCACCTGTAGATCTACCTTGCCTAAAAAAACGTATTATCAATACTTTTTCAAGCCTTTCTTTTCCTCTAAATTCTGAATTTTACAGGCAAAGAATCCAAGTCATAAATCAAATGTGATGTGTGGAGAAAAATCTATCCATTGCAAAGAATTATTTTAAAATGTAATGGTGAGATTTTCATCAAGATATTATACTGGACTGCTAATTTTGAGCTAGGTTCTTGGTCTTGATCATTTGCTCTTGACGAAGGTTCCCTATCTGACCTTGATTGAATTATTTAGCATAATTTTCCTTTCAAACAATAAGATGCTTCAGTATATGGACATGCCATTGAGTTCTGGAATGTCACGTTTACACTTATAGATCAGCATTTTATTGTAATTGTTGGCATTGGCCCACCTAGATGTTTTTATTTATATGGGCGTAGAAGGAAGGACTACCAAGTCAAAGCTATGAACATTTGCGATTGAATGTTGGTAGAAGGTGAAATCTGAATTTTGTCATGGTGCTTTTCTGGAAAAAAAAGATATTAGCTTCATATTTCAATACTTCTTGGAAGCCAATATCAGAAAATTACATGTGAATTGAAATACGTTATATAAGAGATATTTAGGTACGGGAATGAATTATAACTGTACATGATAATTTCGATATTTTGATATGTTTGTCCTGTCCTACCTCCTTTTTGTTTCAGCTCCACCCACATTTTGAAGGGTGGACTCTAGTATACCATTTAAGGGTCAAGTATGGTTCTTGGACCAGAAACCTACTATATGTCCTTAAAATAAAACCCAGGAAGCCACTTCAATTCAAAATCCTACAATTTCTTAGCATCCAACAGATCCTTAATATAACAGTTAAGGATATTTCTCATACACACAGAGAGAGATTGTGTGTGTGTGTGTGTGTGTGTGTGCGTGTGTGTGTGTGTGTGTATATATATATATATTCCCAAATATTCAAACCATCCTCCCATGTCAGGTGAAAACTACTTTGAAGG